GTAAACCGCAAACTCTAATGACAACTATTCCTGTGGATTTTTACTTTTAGTGGTACAATTGACAACGATATAGCCAAACAGCAACAACAGCACCAGCTTTGAAAAAAGACAAGAAAAAAAAAAACAAAAAAAAAACCCAAAAGCCAGATCAGCCGGATCAATGGCTTTCAAATTCTTAAACACTTTCTATTGTCGGTTAATCAGTCCATTATAACTGTTCATCAGCTGGCATTTATACGAGCCGAACATCTGGGCACCTTGGTGAAGACGTTGTAGTTGCATATTATAGTTTCCTTTGCAGTCTGAATGAGACGACACAAATGAATATCATGTGCTGGTTGATTTATTTTATTCCTTGCTGTTTTGGAAATTTACAGTAGTTTGAGTGCTTCACTCTCAAAACTTTTGATGAATCGATGGACTGTTTCAAATGTAAGTTATTTTCAGTCTACACTTTTCAGTTTTCTTTTTCGCATGACTGTATTCTTTGATCCAACAGCCCATGTGTTTCAGAATTCACGTTTGCTTGGTCGAAGTGGCCAGAAGGTTTTTTCAAAATTTATTCTTGTTCAATTTGAGCTAATTTGTAAGGATCTTAGCGTCTTGACAAATCTCTAATTTATACAGCTCCTCGTTCCAAACATGTCAGATCGTCGAATTGAGAGACAATAAGCACGAAATACACACTTTAAGCAGTGTAGGATCTACCGATCGCGCGCAGTGATTTATTAGGGCAACATTATGGTTGAATGTAACTGTAGAGGCTCTACCCGTTCCGTGTTTTCTAGACGATGTTTGACCGCGTGCTGACTGACCTGAACAGTATTCTACAAGAGAAAAACAAGAGAAAAACATCTGTAGAAGTCACCTACAAAATGTTAACGCGTAACATTTTGTTCACTTTCTTATTAGATGGTAGCAAATCTTCCCCAAGACAATCCCAAGCATGCAGCGAGACAAAGAGTTACCATGACGACGGCGATGATGATGGTGACGAATACACAGCGTGCGCATGTCAGAGATGGATGTTCGTTACAATATTCATGCCAATATTTGTTGTTTTATCAATTTTAGGATTCATTTT